CTGAGCTAAATCCCAAGCCCCAAGATCCTTATTTTTAAAAAGGTGTTAAGATAGGAAAGCTTGGGGCTGGGGATTTAGCTCAGCGGCAAAGCGCCTGCCTGACAAGCGCAAGGTCGTGAGTTCGGTTCCCCGTACCGGAGAAAAACAAAAACAAAAAAAAAAGATAGGAAAGCTGACCCCCACTCAGGCTTGGTGTAAAAGTTTATGCACTGGCTTTCATCTGTGTTCCGATGTGATTCCAGACACGGATGCCACGGTGCCATGTAATTAATCGAGGCAACGATTTGATGGCGGGCTCTCCCTGTTCTGGAAGAAAAGGTCGGGTATACCGAAGTGAAAACAGGAAGAGAATTTCAGAATTTTCATGCCTTCATAATTGCTAGGACGGCAGGACGTCTCGTGCTGGGAATGGCTGTATTCTCAATTTCATCCACTAGGGGCCAATGTCACCTCGACTCTGGTCTCCACCAGGGTCTTCGGCAGCTCTTGTCCATGAATGGGTCAGGGTTCTAGCAACAGATTTACTTCAGAGCTCCATTCAGAAAAATACCTAAGCAAGAGCTTCATGTTTCTTTATCAGCTTTTTTTAGCCTTAGGCAGTTCATTACCTTTTTTTTTTTTTATCAGTCATCAGCACAGACATCAGTTGCCCCTCCACACACACACACACACACAAATTGGTTGGTCCACTTTTTTTTTCTTTGAGACAGAGTCTCACTGTGTAGTTCAGGCTGGCCTAGAATTTGCAGCAATCCTCCTGTCAGCCTCCTGAGGAGTGCAGGAATTACAGGCATGTGCCACTACATCCAGCGTCAATTTTAATTCAGTCAATCAATAAATGTTTGTGAGTTGGGCGTGGAGGTGCATGCCTCTAGTCTCAGCACCTGGGAGGCTGAGGCAGGAGGGCTGCTGAGAGTTTGAGGCCAGCTTGCGCTACATAGCAAGACCCTGTCTCAAAAAAAAATTGTGGAAAACAAATTTACGGAGACTTAAATGGGAGCAGAGCATTGAACATGTTGATAAAAAACATGTATTTAACAAGTAAAATATAAATGGCAAGATCCATGAGAGGGGAAGTAGAGGATGAAATGAGAATCTAGAAGAGAAACAAAGGGAAGTGATGGTGGGAAAGGAAACAGGGGGAGGGGGGATGAGCGCTGAGAGAGTGCTCTGAGCTGAGAAAACTGATGCCTGAAGACCCCCACCAAAGACGGAACCCAGATAGGCTGAAGCCACAAGCCAGTGTCCAGTGCAGTCAGGAGCTAGATTGGAGCGTAGCAGAGATTCAAGGTGAGTTAGACCTCATGCGCCCCTCCTTCCGGCACGGTGTGTTACACGCTGAGTGGCTTTATCTGCAATGCTTAGAACAAGGGTCTCTGATGTTGGACTTTTTTTTTTTTTTTTTTAGATTTGGGGGAGATTTGCACCTAGAGAAAGAGGATTCTTAGGGATGGGCCCTGTCTTAGTCACTTTTTCATCT